TAATGGTGCCATAAATCCATACTTAGAGGCGGTGGCGATACATGTGACTGATAAAGTGGAGACACCCAAAGCGTTGCTGGGTATGACACACGATTCCAAGCGCTTGCAGTACATATTTTCACAGCTGGCTGATTGCAAAAACGATACTGAACAACGCTCTTGGATGTTGTATGAAGATGAGGAAGATATTATACAATTTCTGGAGGAGCTAGTAGAAATACTGGTTTGTAATAATTAAATTCTATTTAATATATATGTCATGTCTCATTAATTTGTGTGCATATGATATATTCTATTCTAGAACAATGCAGACGAAAATATTAGTTGCTATGAAATGTCGTGTGATCAGTACCAGGTGCTTATTAATCTAGTGCAGTATTACCAAATGGAAACGCGTTGGCCGATAAAACAGCTACTACTGAAAACGTTTACTGCTGCTTGCCATTTGGATCATATTATAGTCGATATTTTACTAACATCTGTATTGCCATTAGAAATCGTAAGTTTTCAAGATGCCTTTTAAAATATTTGGGCAAGCTATTGTACATCTATTTGACTCGTTTTGCAGGTAGAAGATATGAAAACCAATTTTGCCAACCTAGATAAATTTAAGAAACTTGTCAAAATGTTAACAATAATATTTTCCATGGGGCAACCAATGCCAGTTAATCATCAAGGTGAGTAAAAATTTGATTAAACTATTATATACTTGTTTTGGTTTCCAAGCTTTAGTTAAATACCAGAGATCACACATAAAAGTTATCACACTCAAGTATTCACATATAGTACCAAAAAATATCCGTTACTGAAAATTCAAATCTCATTTTGCTACTAAATACATATGGGTGTATGTTTTTATGTAAAACTACTGAACTACGACTTTTGCGTGCTCAAATGACTTGTTTCAGAGGTCTCCGAAATACATATAAGTTTTGATATCCTGGTATGTACTAAAATAAGGCTCCACTTTCCATTATATACTTAGATATTGTATTCCGCATTCCGAGTGGACAGTTTTTACGAAATAAACTAGACTCTAAGTTAAGACACTTTTAAATTTTTGTTTCGTAGTGTGACTATAGGTTTACATCTGTACTCCTTAATATTTTGTTTTACTGCATTAATAAATTTATTTATTTCCTTTCAGATTACCTTGGCGTACACTTTGCGAGTTTTCTTTTGGAAATCGTTGAAGGCAATAACCCCGAGAGCCTTGTTGACATGGTTATATCATTGATACTGGCCTTTAATTTGCAATTTACTGACTTTTCACAAAATGTTGTGGTGGAAGCTATGCAGAACTTGCCAAGTGCGAAAGTTTTCACAGAAAAAATTCTTTTGCTGTTAAATAGAGAAGGTGACTACAATTTCCCTGCATATGTATTTCTCTATTGCTGTATTTTGCTTATGTTCTTTTTTTACAGAGGATCCCATAAGGGTATTGAAACATTCAACTGAGAGCATAAATTCAGTACTAAAAATATTTATCGATATATTTAGTAATCCAGATACTGCTGGCATGTTTTATACAAACGATAACAAAGTGCTCATTGACATACTAGTACGACAACTGTCCGATTTATGCGCGGGAAATCCGGTAAAATTGCAATGCTACATATGTGATTTTTGTATGCATTTTATAATGACATATATTTTGTTTTGTATATTCACACTTTTCAGCTGCGGCGTTGCTATTTGGAGTTATGTCGACGCATTTTGCGCAATACAAATTATTCGGAGCATCAGCATCGCAAGCAAGATTTTATGAAAATATTTACACGCATCTTTTGTGAAGAGACCGAGTGTAGCGCATCAGATCAACAGCTAGTGCGTGAGATTGCTAATGAATTTCCACAGTTATTCAAGGCCTAAATAGCATTTATTGAAGGAGAATAGAAATAGGATTTGATGACTGAGCAAATATGTAGTAGTAAAATTTTAGTAACTCATTGTTTTCATCATTCAAAAATATTTGATATATAATTTTGTATTCGCGCCTTATTTGTGATGATAAATTTTCAATTTAGATAATATTGTGTGCGCATTTATCATTTGATTAATTTGTAAATATACATATCTATAAGTGTGTATATTTATTTTGGTATATTTCGCTTTAATTTTCATTGAAATAATAACCAAATGCCAAAGATTTTTTTTTTCATAATATTTTAAATCATACATTTTTTTATGCTCATATGTAGTTTTATGTTTAGACTTAAAAATCAGACTTGAATTTAGAGCTTTAAGTAATTAAAATAATGGTCTTAATAGTGATGAAAGGTGTGCTCATAAGCTCCACAGTTATGCGCAAATTCATATGAATGAAAGTGTATATTTAATGCGTAAACATAACAAGTATGAAATGAGGCAATTAGTATAAAAGAAATAGTGAAACAGTTTGCAATATTGAAAATTATACCTGAAGTCTTATAAAGTGTGAGCATATTTAATAATTATGTATCGTTAAACTAACCCAAATACGCACTCATTCAAAGGAGTAAGTGGTTGTTGATAAACCAAATTAGAGGTAATATCTGCGAAAGCTACACAAAATAATTTTGTTTGCAACCAAAGCAAGCAATATTGCACCAGAAGTTGAAGGTTTTTTTTAAAGTTATTATGTATGTACAGTGGTCCACAAAATAATAGGAGTGCGTTATTTTGGTCAGTTTTTGCTATTTGTCTTTTGTTTATTTAATGTTTATTATTTTTATACAAAAGTCAAGCTGGGTATACAACAAACAACGAATAAATTCAGATTTCAACCTTTGTACAAAAATTATTAAAATTCTGTAAATTTTCACCAAAATATCAAACTTTTTAATCAGAATCTTCAGAGAAAATTCTGGTATGCAGTTTTATAGCCCATTCAATTCTAGTCTGAAGAAGTGCAAGTTTCAAGCTGCTAAAAAATTCCGTTGATTTTTGGCAATTTTTTTTGCTGGCACTGTCCCCATATAAAAGAAAATTGTCGAACATACTTTGTATGGAAAAAACGTGAAACACCTTCAACCGAAAAAATTCTCAAAAATCAACGGAATTTTTTAGCAGCTTGAAACTTGCACTTCTTCAGACTAGAATTGAATGGGCTACAAAACTGCATACCAACATATTTTCTAAAGATTCTGGTTAAATAGTTTGAAATTTTGGTGAAAATTTGCAGAATTTTTATAATTTTTGTACAAACTTGAAAATATAAATTTATATGGTGTTTGTTGTATTACCAGCTAGGCTTTTACAAAAAAATACGAAACATTAAATAAACTAAAGACAAATAGCCAAAACAGGTTAAAATATCCCACTCCTATTATTTTGTGGACAACTGTATATGTTTCCTGCATTTAAAGGGTTTCCTAAGCGCACTTTGGAGAAAACTTTCATTAAGCAGGGATCACACGATTTGTACATTTTAAAAGTTACAGAATGGTGTTGTCAGGAAATCCCTTTATTAAGCTGAACTGAAACTTCTAAACAACAACAAAAACGTATCTAGTCCAACTTACTAAATAATAAAATTTTGATTTAATATCATTTATAAAAACAAAACTTATTTTAAGCACAAAGATTTGTATTCCAATTAACAGCTGAAGACAGCGGCAAAAGATTTTTACCTTTTAAAACAAAATTCTAATGCAGAACAACGTAATGAGTAAACGAAACTTCTTAATGAAAACAATTAATAAAAATCAACAAAAAATCCAAAACTTGAAATGTTAAATTTGACTATATAATCTATATAATGAAATCAAGTAAATAAAAATATATTAAAAAAATATGAATATGTTATAGCCAATACTAAGGTTTTGAAAAATACATACATATGCATACATAACAAAAGAACACAACTTATTTAAAATTTAAATTTTCTAAACAATTCTCGATCAACTAAAAATATACAAATATGAAAATCAATTTAAAATGTTCACAGTAAAACTAAAAAATAACGTGTCTTTTTCATGCATCCAAAACCGATTTACCACTTACTGAAAATAGAAAATCAGCAATTCCGCTACGATTCCTTTTAATAAAAGTTGCAAATAATTCTTACATTTACTAAGTTTTGAAAAATCAGTTAAGCAGTTATTAAAAGGAAAATAGGTACTGCTAAATTGACTTTGTCAAAAAGTTTTAAAAATGTATAGATTATTGTTATTGACTATTTATTAAGTTTACTGTTATATGACTGTTTTAAAAATCCATTCAAGAAGCATCCAATGACAAATGTGTTCATTCATTTTTGAAATGTCTACACATGCACATTTTAATTCGAGATTTAATCAAAAAATTTAAGATGAAACTAATAAAATATATTTGTTTTAATCGAGAAAGTAACGGTGTATTAATTGTATTTTTTTAAATGGTACTGTTTAAGGAATAGTAATAATAATGGTGTTATAAAAGGTATTGAAAGTTACACAACATTTTTCATAGTGTAGCCTAATCGAGAAAAAAAAAACATTTGCCAGTCATGCTAAATATGTATGTATGCATGTTATTGCAAAAATATCAGCCCTTTGGCCCAATCTCTTATCTCGTATATTACAACGCATAAACAAGTAGAAAAATTTTCTATATACTTTAGGATTCGAACAAAATCCGTAATGACACTTGTTCACGTTACTTAAAGAAAATTTACAATTAGGTACTTTTATATTCTGTAAAAATGATTTGTAATGACAAAATAGCTCAACGAAGCTCTAATTTACCTTGCCTTTCGCCCTTCTAGCAAAGACAAAGAAACGATTCGTCGGACTAAGCAGGGTAGTAATGCCGTTGGGACAACTGATACTAGTTGGAAATACCAACTGAAGCCAAGTCTGACTCCGCTAGGTCCTTCCATTACAGAGAGGTATTCCAAGTGGAATACTTTCAGGTAAATTTTCGTTTCGCAAAAAACCAGTTTCGGCATAGTGCCATCATCTTCAGTGACACTTTGGTTTCGATTAACATCACTCCTTTTGTAAAATAAAATACAGATTATGTTTCTTTCGTGTGTCGCTTTCAAATTTAAAAAAATCCAATCTTTTTTTATTTCAAAGTACTTTTTTTTTAAAGCACAAGCATAAATTTATTGCATGCACTTTAAAATAGGGATACATAAGTTCTTTTAAAAATATGTACATACATATGTATTTGATTTAAATTCTGCTAAAAAATTCACAGCTTTTGGAAGCCTTGTAGGGAGACGTTTTACATAACAATTTTTTGTTTTCATTTTAAAATTATTCATTAAATTACTTGTATACTAAGGTGGTCCCTAAATTATCAGCATCAGGGGCACCCCGTTATGCAGTTCTAAAAAGATCCAAGGAAATTTCAGTATTTAAAAAATATGTTAGGGGTCGCTAAAAGGGTTTGAAAAAATTGATTTTTTTCTAAATCGCAAAAATTGGACAACATTTTAACTATTAGCTCAGCAAGTTTATGGATTTATATGAATAAAAATTAAAAGTAAAAATTTTGACAAATTTTTGCGATTTCAAAAACAAAACAAATTAAATTTCCTCAAACTCTGGAGGCGACCTTTAAACATTTGTTTAAAATTTGGAAATGTTGGTGGATTTTGTACGTAGAACAAAATATCAAGGCGTGCCCCATACGAAGTTTAGATGTTGATATTTTAAGGATCACCCTACCTCATTTACAATGCTTTCGAAAGAAAACCTCAATTTTGAATTTCGAAACAAAATATGATATAAAGGCCGTCAGGTCAATAATGTCTAAACTAATAAATGCACTTGACTCTGGTACTTAGCTTTTTTTATCCAATAATTTAGTTAAATTTTTAACTACTTATATATTCGATACCTTCGCCATTTGTTTATATCTTCCATTGATAAGGAGCGTCAGACAGTGTTGCAAACAAAACTAAAATTTTAGTTTTTTGTATTATTAATTGCACATTTTTTAATATTTGTGAAATAATTACACTTCATCACGCATGTTTTAGAAAACATATTGTTGGAAGACTTTTACAATTTTCTGAAACTTTTTCTTCAGCAATCACTATCGATTTGTGGCATATATTTTAATTTTACTAGATTGGTAAGCTTAACTAAAACTACCTTAACTAAAAACGGAAAATAAATATTTTTAAATCTTATACAAATGTATATAGTAGAAAATATGTAAATATTATTAAGTCTTTAAATTATTAAAGGACTTTTTCCTATGCATGTTTTACCATCGTTATTTTCTATCTTATAAATGCTTAAAATTATAGTCAAATTTCACACCATTACCATACTTTTTAAGGCACATACATAAGGGTGGTCCTTGATATATCAGAATTATGGGTCACCCCTTTATTTGCTTCTATGTTCAATATTTTCGTGGATGTCTTCAATTTCTATCTAGAGCAAAATTTAGATGTTGATATTTTAAGAACCACCTTAACATACATAGTACTTAAGAGCATTTGGCTCTGGTGTGCGAAAAGTCCTAAACACAAATACAATATTTGGTTAGAAAACTTTTTCAAATTCGAGTTTTCCATATCCCAAGTAGAATACATAGTAACCATTACAAAGTCCATACCATAAGCTTCATAAGTAATTAGTAAGTAGTCATATGTAGTCATGACCAAAACAAAAAAAAAAAAAAATAAAAAACTATTAATACAGATTCCTTTGCCAAGAATCTCTCAACTTCAGTTGAAAAATTATGGTGGTGCTGCACTGTATTTGCCATGCGCCCGTATGCATACTTAGTTATTCTATGGTCACCGCCCACGGATGCTCTATTTTGCCATACTGAATGCCCGTTAGTGTGTTACGTATCGTTTCATGAATGGGTTTCTCCTGTTCCATAGTGGGAATGTACAAATCCGTACCCATGTAGTTAATTCGGTTGATGGGGCTAACAACACAGGCGGTACCAGTGCCAAACATTTCCAATAGCTGTGAGAAAGGGGGTATCATGTAATTAGACGTTCTAGCAAAAAAAAAAAAGACAAAAACAAAACTAAATGAAAAACTTACTCTTCCTTGATTAAGCAGCTCGCAGACTTGTGACATGGTAATCACTTCCTCGCGTGCTTCAAATTTGCCCCATTGTTTGGCTAGCGCTAGGATCGAGTCTCTGGTAATACCGGGCAGGATTAGACCATTGAGTGGAGGTGTGACTAGTATTTTTTCTACAAATTAATAATTGTTAGTATGAATATACATACAAATGTGAGCCTTCGCCGCAGAGTGTGCGATTTTGTAAAAAAATCAGATATCTCGAGAACGTGAAATAAATTCTACACCTGTAGAGATGCAGAATGAAAAAATTGTCCCGTTGAATAAAATAACTACTATGACCTTTGAAATTACCTTAAAATGAAGGAAGTTTAAAATTGTTTTCTTTTTTCGACTTGAAAACAGTGCGCTACGAACTTTTTTAAAGCTCTAAACACATATTTGTGATGGTTTGCGTGAAAGAATTCATTAAAAATTTGTTTAAAGGTCTTGCAAGCTGTTTTTAAGTGAAAAAAACTTAAGAAAATTTTTAATTTTGAAAGTAATTTTAAAGTCTGATTGAATGAAAAATTACCTTGATCTGAAAAGTTAAATTTTCGACTTAAAACAAGTACCTAATAACTTTTTTTTTAAGATAAGCACAGACATAACTATTATAAGAGAGAATAATAAAAGTCAATCAATAATCATTTTATTAAGATAAATATTTTTCGTATCATCTATAATTAGTATTCAAGGACTTATATTATAAAAGTCATTTCATAATAATTATCAGAGAGATAAATATTTTTAAGTCTTCAAAGACTTACTTTATGACTTATATTATAAAATTTTTTTATAATATTTATCTCCCTGATAATTAGTATGAAACGACTTCTATTATATAAATCTTAAAGTAATAGTTATCGATGACTTCCAAAAATTTTCTCACACATAATTAACTACAAAAAGAGAAAACCAACCCCGCACCCACTATTGGCTAAATTTTCTGTAGTGTTACTTCTTTCCAATCAACTAATGTAGGTTCTGAATATTTATGGACCAAATCGGGGAAATCGGGGCCCTCCGTTTCGTGTGGATGGGGGAGAGGGAGTTGGCATGGCCCCCCAAAACGGCCCCATTCGAAAGGGGACAGTCCCCACTTTACCTTTTGCAGAGAGCACCTTTTGCGTAGGCGGTCTTCGGCCGCACTTAGGGATTATACCCCTCACTAAGTAGAATTCTCATTTCTGTGTTGCCAAAGAAGGGGGGCTGAACACCTTTTGCAGAGAACACTCATATTTTCCATGGAAATGTTTATATTTTTAATGTTTACTGGGTAGCCATGGGTAATTACGCAATTTTTATAGCGCTCACTCAAAACGCCGGCGCCACCTGTGGTGTCAGCGCACTAATGCAGCGCAATAGCGCAGTGTGCTGATTTGAACACGGCGCCATCTGAGGGTCACCACAGTACCCGTCGTCATACAGTGTAATACACCATACAGCGGTGACATGTCTATTATTTCTTTAATTTTGGGTGCTGAGCACCGCTTGTACCGCCAACCGAATTTAATTGCTAGGAATGTATGTAGTAAATGCCACGATATTTTCATCATTCTTGAGTGAAATCTTTAAAATTGTCAAGTTTCACCACTTAAAAGCAAATATAAAGTATGAAAGAATCAAGGCGAATTGTGTGTGTGTCTCATGTGTTTCTAGTGTTAATTGCGAGAGCGCTTTTCATATATTGGTGTTGGCGCGGCACCTCCGGTTGCAGTATTAACGCAATTGCACCGCACAGCGCAGTGTTAACCATTCCTATTACTATTCTCTTGTCTCTCATCCCTTTGGTAATTTCCGAATTTTATGAAGAAAGAGCATAATTCAAACTGAATTTCTAAATAAATTAGTAGCCAAATATTACAAAGATAAGTGTTAAAATAATTTGTAGACCCTTGACTACAAGTATGTGCAAATTCTTTTTGGATTGGGTCACCCCTTTGGATGCAATACCCCGAAATAGTTGGGTCACTTACTAAACTGTACCCCCAAATCGGATTAAAAATACGGGTTTTCCAAATATATTCACATCCGCGCCACATATCGGACAAATTGTGGAGTAATTCCGTTTCATGTAAGTACATATGTACATATATACTAATTTGGTTTAGCTCCGATCATTGGATCATGAAAAGTTAACGGTACTCCTAAATTTTTAAATGAACATAGACGTCGGTTGTATTTTTAAACGACTTCACAAAAAGCAGAAGGTTATCAGTTCGTCGGAATATTTTATTTTATTACTCTTTATTTTTTTATGTATGTTACCGCATAACTTTGGACCACGTTAATAGATTTCGATAATTTTTCATAGGAAAGGTGGTACCTGAAGGGTGGTCCCATACTAATTTTGTTTAGATCCGATAATTGGATCGAAAAGAAATTAACGCTAATCTTAAATTTGTATAAGAGTATTGAAGTTGGGTTTGTGGCTTTTGCTTGAAAATTACTTCTTTGCTTAAAAAAAAAATTTTAATGGTTCTTTTGGTCCTTGCGACCATGGAAATGGATTTCTATACTTTTTTAAAAGTTTTTTGAATACTAGTTTCAGGCAAAAAAAAACTGAAAACCTACTATATTTGAGGGTCATTTAAAAGGTCAAGGGTAATTCTTTTATACAATGCGACTATTTTTCCAGAGTTCTGCATCTCACAAAATGTATTTCGTTATCTCTTCCCGTGTTAGAGATATTTGATTTTGTGGCTTTTTTTCCAAATTCGTAAACTGTGCGCCGCTATTTAAAAAAGAGAAATCAGTCGCTTACCTCCTTTTTCATTGGCGTAGAACATGAATATGTTCATTGTACCAACTTCGGTTAGTTGATGATCTTCGCCATACAACCACAATACTTGTTGGAGTCCCTTTTGGGCAGCCTCTTTTTGTACATAGATGGTAGGTGCGTAATTGGAGCCCATTTTACGATTACCCACGCCACCGGGCCACGCTCTATGCATATAAAAATGTACATATGAAATTTAATTAAAAGCACTGGTTTACAGCAAAAATGTTCTATGAATGCCACTATCCAATTCCTATATAGAATTGCTCGGTGATTCCGAAAATCTAGATTGTTTTTTTTTTTCTATGGATAACTTTTTGAGATATTTGCAATTTACCGTTATTCGGTTTAAACAAATAGTGGTTTCACTTAATCACGTATATCTTACGAACCAATTGAATGATCGTAATACGAAGTACGGGAAATGAAAGAAAATAAAATTCTCCACAAACCGTATATACATCACTTTTCGATAACCCTAATAGTTTCTGAGACATTAATTAATCATATTTGACACCTCTTGTTTTCGATGCAAACACTCTACCTATCAGGTCTACGTGGCGCATGAGTAACACTCTTTTCTGCATATTTCATACAATAAATTCTTGCGCATTTTCATTTGACCAATCATTATTTTCTTATTTATCCATCTATTTTCTGCATTGTTAGCTAAATTTTTTTTCTAAAGGAACAGGGTTTAAAACAAGTGCAAAACATTTACACAGAAACTGTTATTTTTTGAATTTATTCTCTGTTAAAGTTTAAATTTTTTGCATTTGTCCATCAAAAAAACAAAAAAATCTGGAATGATTAATTAATTTGTCAGGGCTCTCGAAAAGTGATGTATACACAGTTTATGCAGAATTTTATTTGCTTTCATTTGCCATATCTCGTATTACTATTATTTGATTGGCTCGTAAGATATTCCTGATTAAGTGGAACAATGCTTTTGTTTTTTTAAGCTGAATAAGGGTAAATGGCAAATATCTCGAAAACGTATCCATACAAAAAAAAAAAAAAAAAAAAATTAACTCGATTTTCGCAATCGGCGAGCGTTGGATAGTGGCGTCTTGAGAACAAAATCAAAATTAAAATTTTGTGAAGTTAGTAACTATTTACATTTTTTTTAACTCACCTTGTGTAGCGTGGATCCGCGAGCAGTGAGACTGCACCATCGTTATCGGCTTTGAAGTAACTACCCACGGGGCTGAGGATTGTGTAGAGCAGGGCAGAATCTGAGGAGGCGACACCAAGCATCGGATCGATACCGATCAGTGTGGGGCGGATATATAAACTGGCAGCTTCGGTATGTGGCACCCATTCAGAGTCGATTGATATGAGGCGGGAAAGACATTTGATGAATTCTTCACCTTCGAATGTGGGTAGACCGGAACGATTGGCGGCAACATTCATGCGATTCATGTTCATGTTGGGCCGGAAAATACGAATTTTGCCATCAACACCTCGATACGCTTTCATGCCTTCGAAGAGCTGAAAAAAGTGCGCGGATTATAGATTTTTTAGTATATATGTGTGTATTTACATATATGATAAAAAAAGGTTTACTAAAATAAATAAGAAAACAATTATTCGATAGCTCTTTATTTTGGTATCTTGCTGTTTTCTGATCTTCCAGCTCATATTTGATTGTGAAATCATCTATTTAAGATACACTGTTATCACAAAGATCTGAGTAGCGGAATAACCTTTCTTCAAACGAATGCTTCACATCGAAAAATAAATCTATTCGAAATCCATTTACTGTGTTTATCTCTTTGCAAAGCCTACTTTCCAGTACCTCGGTCTAAATGGGGTTCTCACCTGAATGCTCCGAGTTAATGAAAATAAATTGAAAAGCAATCCTCTGAAGGTCAACAATCATAAACACCAAAATAAAAGTAAAAATGAAGCGTTACATGGTACATACATACATATGTACATAAGTATTTACAAATACATATCTACAGCTTATCAGCATGTAATCGCTTGGCAACTGTTCTGACTCCTAGTAATTGGCTTGTTTTTAGCTGAAGGGCTTAATTTACTTTTTAAATGAAATACAAATGTGCATACATATATACATAACGATAAGCTGGAAAAAATTTAGTATACGTTATTAATTTCCATGTATTTAATTTTTAATACCCGATAATAGCAGTAGTTCAGTGGATCCTTAAATGTATGAATCTAAACTGCCACAGAACTTAGAAGATAGAAAATCGAATTTGAAGTATACTTTTAGCATCAAAAGAACTCTGAATATACCTATGTATTTTGACGCGCTGAATCCGAATCCTGCATCATAATCGGTCTAACGGGTTTGGGTTGAGCCCTAACCACAAAAAACATGTTGTAAGAAAGAACTCCTGACGTGATGGAGCAAAACGGACTCGTATTCAATGCGTCAAAGGAACCCCGACACTTTTGTTGTGTGGCTGTGCAACCCATAACAAAGCTCCACAAAAAAAGGTGTCAGGATCTGGGAATGAGAGATAGGCATTCCTATGTATCTGAATGTGAAGTCCGTTTTGCTACAACACGTTAGGATTTTTCCTAAACTTAAAAAAAAGTGAAGGTAGGGCTGAATTCATATCCGTTAGGCCGATTCCGATGCCGGATTCAACGCGTAAAAATACATAGGGATACATATGTCTTATTCCGAGATCCGTACACTTTTTTGTGTGGCTGTGTAATCTTTAACTACTTAATATGCCTCAGTGATCCCATTTCTTTCCATTTTTTTAAGTTCAAGGCAAAGGTTATTCATATTCTGTTCTGTTACCGTTTACAAGAAGGTGTAATCAAAACTTGGTTCGGTCACCCTGGGAGGGATATTTCTTTAATACTCTGAAGTCAAATACCTTGGAATCATCCGCGATAAGAGACTAAGTTGGAGTTCCCATCAAATGCACTTAAAAAACTGTAATTTCACGTTCGAACAACTTTTAAAGGTTGATTTTAAGCGTAGCCAAAGCATCAATCAAAATTTGTTCACCCGCGGCCTTAGAGTCGCTTCTGGTTTGAACTTCACTGTTTCAATATTTTTTATATATTCGAATGGTTCAGCTCTCTTTAATCCCAGATATATAGACTGGTACACAGATGGGTCGGAGATGGAGGACGGAACCAATGCGTGTGTGTATAGATCCGGCAACAAACGGTCTATTGTAATGAGGCTGAGCTGTAAGCAATCTGAATTTGTGCGTTTTGTGTAACCTTTAAAAGGTTTTGTAAGACGCCTTTTCTAGTTATATTTGCCAGTGTTTTAGTGCTCATCTAGGAGCTTAAAATTGATTTTTTCTTGCTTATTTTCTTCGGGCCTGGTAATGACATACTAATCGATCTTTTACGTGCCAAATATTCAGTTAGAAGCTGATACATTCCTCAACACATCTAAGGTTAAGGTCAAAAGAAATCAAGTATTCCTTAAAAACGTGACGAAAAAAAAAACGAACTTAACTAACCAGCAGGACCGCTGATAGACAACTTTTACTTATATATTAGTTTATTAATAGCCTAACAATGAATTCAACAACCACTTCACTTACCTCAACAGCGTAGTGTAACACCTTTGCCGCGGGATGCACCACAAGATTTTCGAGTGGCGTAATTTCAGGTCGCTGCCAGCCACCCAAACTCCGATGATAGTAGATTTTCAACATATGATCTGTGAATACTCTGCCAAAGCCTAGCATCTCATCGCTGTCCGGTTTCGGTTGCAGCTGCTGCGGCGATGCCAAACGCACAGATAATTGTGCGGCCGCGAATTGTTGGCCAACATCTTTATCATGCTTGATAGGTTCAGGGGCAACGGTATATTGGGCGGAAATGGAAGCGGTGATCTCAAATTCAGGTTCTGCTTTCTGTTTAGCTTGCTTTTGTAAAGTTTTTAATGACTGATTACTGCACAAACGTATGGATTGCTCAATGAAGCGTATGAGTCGATGTTGATTGCGGAATATATCCTGAAAGTAAGTTAGAAAAAATGCATCAAAAAAATATGTATATCTCAATAATGAAAATGCACTCGTTTAGAACAAATTATGCTTTAAGATGAGTAAAGTATTTTTGTTTTTATTAATTAACTGCCTAAATGTCTATTCAGCTGATGTCTCTTCCTTTGTCATCTAGAAGTCCACATTTTATGCACTACGTACCTACTATGTTTTACTTGTAAGCTTTTAAAACCTTGTGTATGTATGTATGTATGTAGATATGTAATTAATTAATTCGCCGGTAATGCACTACTTATGTGATTGAAGCACTTGCGCCGTTTAAACACTTTTTTAAATTATAACGCATAAGCTTCAAGTTCAAAGGTGTTTGAAATCGTGGCGTGCTTTCATTGTATAATCATTAACATCTTTCGTAGGAACGCTTGCATATATGTATGCACATACATTCATATGTACCTGAGTATATACCTACATATGTACATATATATATGTATGTACACATTGCACATGTTTAAAGGGGAAGTGTGGCAAACCCCTATTAAAGCACATAAAAAAAACGCAAGAATTTAATGCATACAATTAAAAGGTGAAATAGTTGAATTTTCAAGTTTCGGGAATAAGTACAACAAAAAAAATAATAATAATGCGAACGATCACCTTGGGCATAGGCAAAAATGAGTCAAACGCTTAAAATGAGTGTACTAAAGAAATTGCGTTTTAAAAAATGCGCCGTATATCTAAGTGCCACGACTTTTTAAACACAACTGTTTAAACAAAAAACGTGCAAAAGAACTGAATTTTTCCAGTTTTGGACGTGCAAAAAATATACATATGTATATACATATGTATATATATGTGTGTATTCCCATGTTAACTTAATAGCAATGCTTTAGTAACTTGGATGAATTTTTGCAGTCGAGAAGGCAAAAATTGTCAAACAATATTTTCACTTTGAAGTCTAGTATTTAGCTCGTTTTCAGCCATCCGGGAATACAAACATACATACATATGTCTTCATTATTTTTGGCTCGCGTTCTCACGACTACTTACATATATAGTAGTAGATTAAAAGAAAAAAGGTTATCTGCAATCTCTAAGCTGAAAAGTTTTTTGGTTATTATAATACCGTTAGTCAAAAAAAAACTTTTTGAAAAGTTTCGTACACATTCGGACCCAGGCTTGAAGAGAACGATACTTCCGCTTTAATATGGGTATTTTTTTATTTCTTTAACGTAACGTTCTGTTACGAGGTATAAAGTTTTATATGGAAAGACCTCGAAAAAATTTCTCAAATTTAGATATCTTTTGCAAATAAAGCCATATATGGATTTTGATTTTCGACATTTGAAAAAAAAAAATTGTGACACACTCATCTAACCGATTTAACCTTATTCTTTGAACCTTGAAACATAAGTAAGAACAAGTAATTTTTAGCAAAAAAAAACCGACTTCAACTCTCATATAAAATATATATATATACCACCTCTGAGACACTACCTTTCCGATGCAAAAAGAATTATCGAAATCGGTCGTGGTCCAAAGTTATGCGGTAACATACTTAAAAAAAAATAAAAAAATATTCTGACAAACGGATAACCTCCTCCTTTTTTGGAAGTCAGTTAAAAAACTAAATAAATAATAAGAAACACAGGACTACAGCAAAAAAAAAAATGATAAAACGTTCTTTTGACCAGACTAGATGTTCCATATGTTTTAGGGTCGGTGAACACGAATCTGAAGTCCGTTTTGATCCATCATGCCAGATTTTTTTTTTTTACCTCCAAAAGCATGGCGAACTTTATGAGAAAATATTTTTTTTTATAAACATTGACGGACTTTTATCTCTTATCTATTTTGGCAGCCACGGACAGATTTTCAAAACATAAAATGGCGTCCCCAATATGGCGGTCAAAGTTACCAAATCTTATAAGAATTGAATTCTTTTTCAGAATTTGACTCCCATATTGGATTCGTCATTTTTAATTTACATAAAATACACTCAACCCTGGGTTTGGCATAGGTGTGTGCCAATCGGTAACTTTTTTCTCCATAGTGAGACGGGGTGGAAAAATTTACTATGGTGTACAAATAAATTGAATTTTGCTGTGCCAAATGCAAAGTAAAATTTTGACAGTTGAAAAACCAAAAAAAAACGCTCGTGCAAAACCTCCATTTTTGCGTGTTCCTGAAATTGTTTAAATTTACATATATTTATTTTGCAACTTGCAAGTAACGTGCGTTTTTTGTGTGCCTTTTCAGCTTCCCTTTCGATTTTCGCTCTTTATTACCGCCAAACAATACTGTGTATACAAATTTAGTACCTGCAAAAATTTATCTATTCTATCTATTCTATCAATTGGCACAGGCCCTTTTTTACCCGTTTGCCTTTGTTTTAGAATCGAACAGGATAAAAAAAGGGACATTCAAAAGCGACATTTTTTGGTAGTTTTGGTAGAAACGAAAGCACCTTAAAATGCGTCCGATCTACTCGTATTTTTGATTAAAGGAAAAAAGTGAAAAGTTCTCGCTCATGTTTACTTTAAGATTTAACTCTTTTCATGTTTGAATACTTTTTTTTTTTTTTTAAATTGGAACTCTTAATAAGATATACTAAGCTTCTCAATAGAATTCGGAGAGTATTGCCGTTTACCTTAAAGAAGAACTTTCAAAGTTAAATATTCTATAGGAAATTTTCTCATGTTTAGGTATGAAATGAAAGAAATTTTTTGTGGGGTACATTTTTAATAAAATCAAGTTTAAAGAAACAGGCATATAGAATGTACATATTGAAACTAGGTGAAAAGGCCGGCTTGTGTGATAACAAAAACCGGATTTTTTGTTCAGTTCGGTTTGAAAATTAAAAAAAAAAACTAGAGATGTAAAAAAAAAAAATACCGGCGAAAACCGGTACATAATCACACATGCATATACATACATAAAAAATGTATAGCGTACATACTATGTCCAATTTTTTTTGGAGATTGTACAGAAATACGTTATGTATGTAGATATGTAGATTTGACAATCAGTCGCATTCCAATACAAATTTTGCACAAAAGAAACTCAATATGTTGTAGACAATAATTCGTAAGACACGTTGTTAAGTGATAACCCATAAATATAATAAGTTCAATATTTAGTTGATAGAGAAATTTAAATTCGTATTTACCCTGCAGGGAAACCGCGGACTAGTGAATCAAATTTCTAGTTCCGTACTAGGTCTTTATCGCCAAAAAGGAACTAGGCCGTTAGGAACTAGATCCCCACCAGTCCAAAATCGGCGAAAAGTGGTACTTTTAAGAAACTAATTTTTTCAGTTTTTTTCACTACAAATCTATATCTAAAGTGACGAATTTAGAAATGGTTCGGAACTACAGAAAAAGGGATGCAGAACGAACTAGATCCTATTTGTCGAATTTAGAACTATTTCGGAACTATCGAATAAGGGATGCAGCGGGGGGCTTGTTTACTTTACATAGATATGTGTTCCGCGGATTTTTCGTTCAAATACGCTTCTATTCTGTGCTTCGCAGATGCTATTTCACAGTTTGGTAATACAAAACAAAGCTTTGTGTTAACATATTAACATCTTGGGGCAGTCTGGAATCTAACCAATAACAGCGAGCACCTCTGCAAAGTCAGCTACAGCAAGGTATGTAAACGTGCATTTCTTACAATCATTCAAACAAATTTAATTTCAAATTAAAAAAACGTTTATTTGAAAATAATGTAAAATCGCACACGGAAGAACCGAAAAGATTGAAAAATCATGATACTTTTTTCTTTTGTCTGTCGATTTTAGAACTGGTTCGGAACTATAGAATTTAGGACTAGTTCGGAACTATCGAAAAAGGGATGCAGCGGGGGGCAATTGACACTTCCTAGGACATCGCCATGTTAAATTCGCCAGTTGCTTGCATGCAAAAGAGATTTATCGCGAACCAGTACTGGGTCTAAATGCACTAGAAACGCCACAGTTCAGAACTAGAGATTTTCCCCACAGGGTAATTATGCATATACATACATACATATATACGAACATTCGTACATACAACCAAACATACATATATTAGTAGAATATTGATCTTGATATTGAAGTTATATGTAGGATTCACAAGGCGATATTTTTTGAGTATGTAGCTTTATTAAATCACGTAATGTGTTTGGTATAAATTTCGGCAATATAATGCAGCAATTAATTAATTAAGTGATTTTTATATACAAGTTGCTAATTTCGACCTTATTAAGCTTATAATCGGCACAACTATAAAAGCCTAATAATTTCCGCTAAGATGATGCAACATTCATGTTTTTCCAAATCAACTAGGAATTTATTTTACTACGCACAAACCACAAATCTAAGTAAACAAATTTTAACAAATATGTAACCTTCAGAAACTGCCTAATACATTTGTTTAATTGGTTTCTTAAGAAAATTTTTCGTTTTCCAAGCTGATGTAATATCAGCCTTATATTGGGCGAGCATTTTAAGATCGCTTTCGAGATGATTGAGGACCATAAGAGTAGTACTCAAAAGAGAATGAATGCCCCCAATAGCAAATATGTATGTACATATGTATGTATATGTGTGTTGTTAATATAAACCGCAATTCGTTGAACAACAGCTAAAATTAATGCAAAATACACATCGTCACCTGAAATGAAAAAAGCAGTAACTAACAAAAATTGCTTTTGCATAAAATCGTGTGGGGACTTGTAATTCTTTGAAATGCATCATAATTTATCAATAAGAGAATTTTAGATTTTTTGTTAGTTACGGCCATTTGCATTTCAGGTGACGATATACTATGTAAGTATGCATGTAGATACATACAAATGTACGGTGACCAGATTTCTGTGGCCAAAAATCGGGACATTTCTAAAGCATCGAATCCGTATCTACAACATTGTTTTTGGAATAAAAAGACTCAACTTATTTTAATACCGTTTTATTTAAAATAAAACAAAGAGAAAAAACTTGAAAACTGGAAATATAACTATCTAAAAAA